ACCAAGGGTGCCAATAATTCTGACCACGACTGTATATATATATATATATATATATATATGTATGTATATATAATCTTTAACATAACTGAATCAACATAAATACCAACAACAACTTTTTGTGGTTTAAATTAAGGTAAGGTAATAATTGCTGGTCACTACTTTTTTATCGTGATACTGTGTGCACCAAGACAATGTACAAAACTAGATTTAAATTAAAAATACAGTTTTATAAAGCTAAAGAAGCAAAATCATGTTTATCAGTTTTCAATGGTTATTTGACTTTCTGAGGTACAACTGGCAAAAAAGGTCTTTAGGATTTTGGTCGTTCCATGTGGATATATGAGCTTAAAACTGTGGAAAACTTAAATGTTAAACTGAATGAACAACTAGAATTTGGCTGATCTCAGATAAGCTTGGCTTCATGACAAGGTCTTTGATAATCCTACGCATTAATAATGATGCATACAGAGAATCGGGGAAAAAAAGAGAGCTAATTCTACAGGTTCACATCCCGTCTTTCCTGAGTGGGTGTTCCTCTATTCTTTTCTTTAGTTCTTTCAAAATTTGTATGTGGCTGTTCCCTCTAAAACGGAAAAGGCCAATCACCCTCATATTAGCCACCAATAGGTCCATGATGCTAATTTTACAGCCCACTCTTGTCAAAACCAGCCGTTATCCACCTCCACAGGATGAGGAAGAAGTGAAGAAGAAGCGTAGAAGCATTTCCGCTGCGTGTGCTTCTGTTGCTGAGGGGAATCTTGTTTTCAGTGACGTCACCTGGATATTCATCAGCTTCTTTTCACATCTCACTAACCTTGATTTCCTGAGATCACTTTCCTAACTTCTTTCTCGCCCTATGTCGCCGAAAATGAAATTGAAATATGCTAATTTAATGTTCTTGTCTCTTTTTTTAATCGGTGGTGTACGGAGAAAAACAACTCTCAGTATTCATTTCACACATTTCATTTTCCTTTATTTGAACTGTCTCACCAGTTGCTGTGCTCTCAAACAATAATGCAACTCAGTCAGATGAGATCACAGACCATTGTCAGGCAGGGGGCAAAGAGGCCCTGTCACTTGGACTCCCACATTTTGGCAGCAGAGGGAGCTGTTTTACTTACTGATTAACACTGTGAGCAGTTGGGCTTTCGTCTGATAGTGATGGGCTGTGTTCCATTCTTAAGTGCTCACCCTTATGCTCTAATCCCTTTGAAGGGTTTACCCTCCAGAGTGAGCGCTTCAATGAGATGAAGGGTGTAGGGGACCAAAAAAACTGTTCCTTGGTGCACCCTTAATTCTGCTTCATCTTGCCAAGCCAATTAAGGTTTAAAAAAATTAGGCTTGCAATAGAGTAATGAGAGCATATTGTTTATTCTGACGGGCCCTTTGAAGTGGCCAATTTTCAGCACTTCGTTTTGGATCGACCCTTCAATAATACTGCCACAATTGTTCTTGCTCCAAAGTATCCTTTGGAGGTGGATTTATGCTGTTTGGGATGCAGCGGTGGACTGTGCGTTTTAAAAATAAAACTTTCTGTTTGTTGAAAGGCACACTCTTCACCCTATTTATTTGTCTTACACAAATTAAGTTCCTTTTTGTTAAGCTGGTAACTTTTTTATTATTATTATTATTTACTCTAAATGCCGTAGTTATTGTTGTTTCAACCCTATATGCTGTTATCTGTATCTTCTAAAAATATATGATAGCTTTGCGTGATCAGTAGACTGAAATTTATATTATGAATCAGATCTTCCCATCCGCTGCAGCTCTCAATTCTCATTCTTCATTGCATTCATTGACATTCACACGAGAACATGGCACGTTGGTCTCAATGGTCTCTGCAAAGCCAGCATGTCATGCTTAAAAGTCCAGTTTTTGAATCTGAATGCAGTCAACAATGAGATTTGAGAGTGAAAAATCAGTGAGTAATGACTTAAATTGAATTCTGTTCCGCACACAAAGCTATCATACAAAGTCTGCTGTTACGATGAAGATTGTGGAGAAAATAATGACAGAGATGAGCTATCCCCTTAAGAGATTCAGTTGTTTTTTTGTGCAAGAATGGTGAATAAGATTAGTAACTTGTTATGAAATTTGAATTTGAGCAATCAGTGTGTGTGTGTGTATATATATATATATATATATAT